CACATAACTATAAAAATAAATTTGGAAACAAGAAAAAAAATTAAATTTTAAAATATTCTTTATTTAAATTTAAAATTAAAATTATTTGTTCCAAGTATTAAAAAGAAAGAAATTTATTCTTCTTTTTATACTTTTATTTTAATACATTTTATTTATTATTAATATATTCTTTATAAAAAAAAACTATTATAACTATTTTATTTTAATTTTTAACTATTATTTTAAATTATTTTTTTAAAGAAAAATAACTTTTATTAAATTAAAATATAAAAAATTAATTTGGAGCTTGTATCACGAAGGGCATTCCGGGCGGTAGCTTCTTCTTGATATTGTTATTCAGAGAGAGAATTATACAGAATTGATATTTTCTGTATTTTAGATTATTTTTATTATTGGAATTCTTCTGTATTTTAGTTCATTTTTATTTTAATAAAGATTTAATTTATTTTTAATTTTTGTTTTATTTTTAGTTTATTTCAAAGGTTTTAGAAAATATTATACAGAAACTTATAATTCTGTATTTTATATCAAATATTTATTGAAATAGGTTTTTATTATTCTTAATATAAATATAAGAATTAGTAATGATTTAAATATTATATAATTTTTAATAAGAATATTTAGTAATAATTTTTATTATATTTAATATTAATAAAATATTTAATAATTATTTTTATTAGATTTGATATTAATAAAAGATTTTAATAAGAATATTTAATAATAATTTTTATTATATTTAATATTAATAAAAGAATTTTATAAGAATATTTAATAATAATTTTTATTATACTTGATATTAATAAAAGATTTTAATATTATACAGAAACTTATAATTCTGTATTTTATATCAAATATTTATTGAAATAGGTTTTTATTATTCTTAATATAAATATAAGAATTAGTAATGATTTAAATATTATATAATTTTTAATAAGAATATTTAGTAATAATTTTTATTATATTTAATATTAATAAAATATTTAATAATTATTTTTATTAGATTTGATATTAATAAAAGATTTTAATAAGAATATTTAATAATAATTTTTATTATATTTAATATTAATAAAAGAATTTTATAAGAATATTTAATAATAATTTTTATTATACTTGATATTAATAAAAGATTTTAATAAGAATATTTAATAATAATTTTTATTAGATTTGATATTAATAAAAGAATTTTATAAGAATATTTAATAATAATTTTTATTATAAAAAATTTTAATAAGAATATTTAATAATAATTTTTAATATATTAAATATTAATAAAAGATTTTTATTAGAATATTTAATAATAATTTTTATTATATTTAATATTAATAAAAGAATTTTATAAGAATATTTAATAATAATTTTTATTATATTTAATATTAATAAAAGAAATTTATAAGAATATTTAATAATAATTTTTATTATATTTGATATTAATAAAAGATTTTAATAAGAATATTTAATAATAATTTTATTTTATTATTATTAAGAGTATTTAATAGGAAATACAAGGTATTTAGTGACACCCCGTATCAAAGGTGATACAATATAAGTAATAAAGTATCAGATTTCTATTTATAACGAGGTCGAGCAAATAGGGAATTTGTAAAATAATATATTCCAACTCAAAGATAATAAATAATAATTTACACAAATAATAAAATTTATTTATTTCTTTTTAAATCTTGTTTTTATTTATTTATTTATTTTACATAAATTATTACAATTATATTTATATTCCTCTGAATATAATGATTTTTATCTATCTCTAATAATTCAATTTATATTAATATCTTAATAATAATTTTACTTATAATTGTAGGATTCAACTCTTATCCTTTAACTATAAGTAATTACTTAATTATTTAAACTAAACTATAAGTTCTCTAAAACTATTATTTTACTCAATTAGAATTTTTAAAACAACAAGAAAAACTCTCTCTTTAACTTTTATTTCATTCTCTTCTTTTAAATTTATTAATTAATTTTATCTTGAATATTATTGGCTGTCTAATTAATTTTTAATCTATTTATATAATGATTTAGTATATTATATATTGTAATTATTTTTCACTATATTATTATAGGATTTGTTAAGATTTTGATATAATTTATAATTTAAATTTAAATAAAATAATATGTTTTAATAAAAATATTCACTAAGTCGATATGTCTATATAGTAATATACTATATAGATATATAATAATAATAATAAATATTTAAATGTTTAGTTTAATAAAAATTTATTTATAATAAACTTTGATAATTAGAATTATCAAATTAATTTGATTTTAAATTTATTGATTTTATTTAATAATAAAATATCTATAATATATTACTATTAAGGTAATTTTACAATAACCTTACAAAGAACATAAAAGATAGATTTTTACATCTTTCTTTTATACTTTGTAAGTTACATAATAATAATATTTAATTATAAGATAGTAATAATATAGTAATATAAATACTAATAAAATATAAGGATAAATTTAATTATATAATTAATTTGAATAATTGAATTTAATATAGATATGTTGTAAACATATATAAAAACATAATATAAATAAAATACACGTGACGTCAAATGTATCATTGAAATTAATTATTAATATAAACCTTATTTATTAATATTCTCAGAATTATTAGGCCTAAGATAACCCTTTAAATATTAAACAAGAATTTATATTAATTATTAGCTATTTAAATATATATATTATTTATAATTAAATAAATAATATTTTTAATTATTGAAATGTAAATAACTGAAATTGAGATTTCAATTCAGTTATAATTTCAACAGGATTTTCTCTTTTGTTAATTTTCTTGAGTATTTCTAGCTGTATTGTATCAAAGGTGTTATGGTTCGAGGAATTCAAAAAAAAAAAAATTATATAATATTAAAACACAAAAAAAAATTTTATTCTTTCACAATAATTTTTATTTATTTATTATATTTTTATTTTAATTTTTATTTTATTTTTATTATTATTTTTATTTATTTATTTTATTTTTATTTTATTTTTATTATTATTTTTATTTATTTATTTTATTTTTATTTTATTTTTATTATTATTTTTATTTATTTATTTTATTTTATTTTATTTTTATTATTATTTTTATTTATTTATTTTATTTTTTTTTTTTATTTATTTATTTTTATTATTTCTATTTTTTTTTCTTTTTTTTTTTTTCTCTCTCTCCTAAAAAGGGGTTCCAAGGTAGTCAATTTATATCTTTTTGAAGATATAAAAGTAGCAAAGCCTCTGGAAGTAGTTGAAGAGATGGAAAAACAATAGATTTTTAAATCTTATTGATTATTTCCTTATTGTAATAAATAGAAATTTTATTATTTCCTAATATTCAAATTAACCAAAATAAATCTATAATATAAAAGATGCATTATAGATAAGAATTAAACAAAAAAAAGAGAAGCAGTATTACAATAAAATTGAATACTTTAACTTAATTTTGATACTAATTTAATATGTAATCTTATATATTAATTTGAATGACATAATAGAAAATAAAATACATTTATTAATATATGAAAAATCTTTTACAATTTTAAATACAGAAAATTTTATTTTATTTATTTCTTTCATTTCAATTATTTCTTAATTCGAAAGACAGAAATATTGATAAAGTTATTTAAGTTGTTTATATACAGGAATTATTCCTTATTTAGAAAAATAATACTAAAAGTAATTAGTACTATGTTATTGCTAAACTCTCATAAATTTAATTTACCTTTATAAGGAATGAACATAAATTTAAATTAAATTTTATGTATAAACTTAAATTTTCAGATCAAATAATATAGTAAAATTATTAATGTAAAGAATACATAAATTTATTAATATTTTAAAATTCACCTTGACTATATTAAAAGGTTTTTAATAAGAATCAATTTATTACTTCATTCTTTATCAAAGGTGGTAGACTCGGGGTTGACACTTAGATATTTAAAATCAAGCAGGGGGGGGACGGGTATTACCCTGCTTTGATTTTAAATAAAAAAAAAAAAAAAAAAAAAAATTCTTTTTTTAAAAGTTATTTATTTATTTTTTTTTTATTAATATAAAACTTTTTATTTAAAGTACACATATTTAATTTTTAAGAAATTGTTACAATATTTATATAAATTTAAAGTATAATTAATTGTTTATAATTTAAGTAATTTTATAGAATTATTGAATTAATTTTATATCAATAATTCATTTTTGTTTTAATTTTTATAAATATAATAATATAATATTCAAATATAATTTAATTAAAAATAATTATAAAATAAATATATAGAAAATAGTTTTTACTATTTTCTTTGATATTTTTAAGTTAAATAAATTGTTTTTAAAGATTAATATAATAAATTTAATAATCTTTAATTATTTTAAATAATACTTGTAATTATTTTCAAAATAAAATAAAATTTTTATAATATTTAATTAATAAATTTGATAATATTTAAATAATAATTTTTATAATAAGTAATAATTTTTAATAATAATTTTTAATAATAAATTTAATTAATAATCTTAATAATTTTATAATAATATTTAATAGTTATAATAAATAAATTTTTATAATAATATTTAATAATTTTAATAATTTTATAATATTAATAATTTATAATAATTTTTAGAATAATATTTAATTAATAATTTTAATAATTTAGTATCTTAAAAGTATAATTTTAATATTTACAATTGTATTTTAATATATACATATATTTAATAATATAACAATAAAGTAATTAATTAAAATTTATTTACATTATTTACAAGTGTAAATTAATTTATATCAAAATAAATTAAATTTACAATGAGGTTTAGGTTATGAAGAATATAGGAAAGTACAATTTAGTAAAGAATTATTAATAATAAAATAAAGGTTATTAATTCATTCTTTACCAAAGGAAGTATAATCTTTCCGCACTGGTCCAGTGGCTTGGATTCCACGCTCTCACCGTGGCGGCCGGGGTTCGATTCCCCGGTGCGGAGCTTTTTATTTGGTAAGTGGATAATGCGTCAGACTTAGGATCTGAAGATTGCGGGTTCGAGTACCGATTGAAATGATATTTCGTTGCTTAAGAACTTTTTTCTAAATTTTTTTATGCACTTTAATTTTGAATGTTATTTTTTATTTCACATTACTATTTTAAATATTATTATGTTTTTAATTGGCAAATAATATTTATTTATATCATTAATTCTTTTTTTTTTTTTTGTAATATAAAAAATATTCTGTAATTAATAAATATAATATATAAAATTTATTTATTTATTTATTTATTATTTATAAACTAATAAGGTAATTAAAAGGATATAAAATTAGGATAAAATTAATGATATTTATATACATGTTGTGGCTTGATATTATTTATATTTGATCAAAACTATTTCTAATTTACATAAAAAATTGCCAATAAATTTAATTACAAATTTATATAAATAATTGATAATACTTTAATTAAATTACGAATTTTAATTTATTTATTTCTAATATTTAATTTTAATATTTTTTAATCAACATTTATAACATTTCCCCCTCAAACATATTTTTAATACGATTAAAATATTAGTTTGGAATTATTAGTTTATTATTTTTTAGTATTTATTACAATTGTTAAATTTACTATTAAATTTTCTTTTATTTATATTGTTATTATTGTCTATGTTATAATGGTAATTATGTTTATTTTGTAATTAATATTATTATTCATTTCGAATATCTTTTTGGTAAATTTCTTTATTTGACTTCCATTTTGATTTTTTGTTAATGTATCAGCAAGCATTTCGTCGGTTGAAATATATTTTAGATTCTTTTTATTTCGATTAATATTGTCTTTGTTAAAGTAATATTTTATTGAAAGATGTTTTAATATGCTGCTAATTCAACGTTTTTTATTGTTTTTAAGCTTGATGTATTATCTGTGAATATTGTTATTGGTTGTTTAAAATTAAGTAATTCTGGATGTTTCTTATCCAAAGTACCTTTTTTTTACGAATTCGGAAGTGGCTATATATTCGGCTTCGGTAGTATTAGTGGCTACGATGGACAGCTTCTTAGATCCCCAACATATTGTTGAGTTTCCCATTTGTGTTATGTGTCCTGAGGTAGATTTTCTATCTTCAAGATTTCTTGAAAAATCAGAGTCGGTTTATCCAATAAAGTTCCCTTTTCCATTGTATCTTAGCTAGTAATCTTTAGTAGCGTTTAGGTATTTGAATATATTCAGTACTTTGTTCCAATCTGATACGGTAAGGGATTTTGATTTTTTTCTATTTTATGAAAGGGGAAACTAATGTCTGGGCATGAAATTTTTGCAATGTATATTTGCGATCCAATTGCACTTTTGAATATCGTTGTGTTAAATGGTTTTTTGTTCTCTGACATTAGATTGTCGCCTGTACATGGTGTAGATTGTTTTTTGATATTTGTAATATTGTATTTTTCAAGGTGTTTATTGTGTGAGTTTGAGATATTATGTAATTGTTGTGATCTTTTTCTATTTTTATTCATAGTATATATCTTAGAGGTTCACAATTTGATATTTTGAATCTTTTCTTTAGTTTGCTTATTATGTTTCTTATTTCTCGATTGTTTCCGGTAATCATCATGTCGTCAAGCTTATTATTGATTACCTTTTTAAAGATGCATGGTTCTGAACTCAATTGCGTATATCCTTTTTCTCTAAGGAATTTTGAGATAGTAAGAAACCATTGTCTTCCGGCCTACTTTAAACAGTAAAGTGTCCTATTTAATCTCCAGAAACCTCTTTTGAGAATTTTATCTCCTTTTGGAATTTGGATGTATAATGTTTTGTCAATGTTTACATTTAAGTATGCTGCTTTTATGTCCAGTTGTTGGATATTTCACTTGAATTTAGTGGCAAGGCAGTTATTAGTTTTATGCTATCTGTATTAAGTGTTGGTGAATAAGAATGTCATAATCGATACCTTTTTGTTGTTTGTAGCCCCTGACTACTAATCTTGCTTTATATTTAGTGATATTGTTGTTTTCATCTCTTTTTACAGTGAATACCCATTTTGAAGATATTATGTTGGTATTTTTTGTAATTCTTTTAGTGAATATCATTATTTTATTTGCATATAAGTTATCAAGTTCATTTTTGATTGCTGTTAACCATTCTTTCTTTTCATTACTGTTGATAGCTTCATTGAAAATTTTTGGGATCTTTTGAATTGTGTTTTTGGCTGAAATTTGATTTTTATTGTTATTTATGTGTGAGATGTTATTGAATTCTTTATTATTGATTTGTGATTTTATTCTTTTATTGGATATTGGATCGCTTTTATCTGTTGATGTTAGTGGTCTTTTTCTGAGTATTTGAGGGATGTTATCGATATTTCTTATTTTCTTATAAATTATGTTTTCTATATCTTCAATATTTCTTTTTCTTTTATGATCAGTTGGATTAGGATTTCTTTTTGTTTTCTTGTGATTATTGTCTTCACTTGTAAATAGTAATATTTTGAGATTTGTAGTTTTTGATTGTTTATCAGTATTATTATTATTGAATATAATATTGTTGGTGTAATTGTGGAATCGTTGTGGATTTCAATGTCGTTATTTTCAATATTTTTAGTATGATTGACGTCATTATTGTTAGTATTACTTCACCAATATTTTCTATATTTTTGTTTACATTTTCTTGAATATTATCCGTTGTATAAATATTATGTAAATGTTATTTTATATTATTATTGTTAGGGTAATTATTATTATCAATATTTTGGAAGGTGTCTGAAATGTTTGAGTTTTCAAAGGTAAGAGTGTTATATGTAATACAGCGTTCATTATTAATTTTTGATATTTTATTATTTAAATGAGCTCCAGGAAATATATCTTCTAAGAATAGTGCTTCTCAAACAATTTTACATTTATTATCTTTTAAGTCCATAACGACGAAACTATTAGATTCAAAATCAATACCTAAAAATATTCCTTTTCTTGATTTTGGTCAGAATTTAGAAATTTTGTTGTTATTAGGATTTTATAATATGATGAGCATCCAAATACTTTGATTTTTGATAAGTCGATGTCATTATTATAGAAAATTTTATTGGGAATTCAATTGTTTATACTGAAATGTGGAGTGAAATCATATAGATGAGTGGCATATTTGATTGCAATATCCCAAAATTTAGTAGAGTTTTGAAGTGAATAATAATGTTCTTGTACAATCGACAATGGTACGGTTGAACCTTTCATCGAGACCGTTGATTTGCGGATTATAAGGTATTGAGAATACTTTGTGTATACCTTTATTTTTACAGAAATTGAATATCCTTTTATTCTTGTATTCTTTACTATTGTCTGATTTGAAAGTTTTGATGACTTTATTATAGGTTTTCAATAAATGTGAGAAATTGTATTATTATTTCAGTTGCTTGTGACTTTTCTTCAAGTAAGTATAACCATGCCTTTCATGAAAATTCATCTATGAATGTTATGAAGTATTTTTTGTTTGTAATGGATGGTTCCACAGGGCTAACAATGTCGGAGTGAGTTATCTCTAGTAATTCTGTGGCTCTAGGGGGAGTACCATTAAAATGGTCTTAATTCATTTTGGAAATTCGGCATTCGGTACAATTTAATGGTTTTATTTTGTTTAGTTTTAGATATTTGTTAATATCATAAAGAAAAAAGTGACCAAGTCGATTATGCCATATTTTTATATTATTGTTGTCTATTTCAATGTTAAGTAGATTTTGGGAAATAGTATTAATTGGATTTATAGTCATGTGTATTATATTGTGGATGTTAGAATAAAAAGTTCCAATTACTCGATTGTTCATAATAAGACTGATGTAAGGCTTGTTTTTTTGGTCTGATACAATTAGGGTATATATTCCTTCCTTTGAGAGTTTAACACCACTAAATATGTTTTTTGATACGTTTTTTGAAAATAGTACGTGATGTAAGGTTATTCTATGATCGTTTATTTTTCCGTGAAATGCACAATATCTTTCAAAGTAGTATTAGGTATTGTTATCACTTCTCATTGTAATGTTTTGTTTCTTAAAATTCGTTAATAGACACTTATTTGTAATATCTTCAGAGGAACCTGTGTCATAGGTCAACTGAGTACTATTCGGATATTTTTACCATTTACTTGACAATACGGTTTAGTACTCATAAATGTTTGATATGCTGAGCAACCCCAACTATACACATGATTATTGGTAAGTATAAAATTAATGAAAAATGAAATATTATCACTAAAATTGTTGTTTAAGATAAAATTATTATGTGTTATCACGTGATTATCTATTGTTTCTATGTTATTTTTGTATTCATCATTGGTATATTCAATGCTATTAATAGAATAATCATAATAGTTATTATAAAGTTCATCGAAGGGGACATAGTCACCGCTATGTTCGATGTTTTTTAATGATCCAGTTTGTTTTTTGTAGTTATATTTATGTCTCCTTTGATTGATTCGTTTGCATTTGTAATTCATTTGTTGGTCTTTGTGTTGAAAAAACATTCGTTGGTGGAATGACAGTTGATTTTACATATGTGGCAAAATTTCTTGTTGGAAGGATAAGATTTTGAATTGTATAGGTTTTTAATTATGATGATAGACGTGATTACGATCATAATCAAGGTCCATGTTGTCTTCTGGAGAATTTTGAATATAATTGTTGTTTAAATTAGTGAGTCTGTTGAATTTTATATTTTCTAATAAAAATCTTATTTTCTGATATCATTGTAGAATTCAATTAGGTTGACGTCTGCGTTAAAATTGACAATATTTTTGATTTTATTTGGAAGAGCATTGTTTAAAATTGTAAGTTTTTCTAAATTGCTCGGATTTAGATTTGTTTAGTGTAACATATTGAAAAGTTCCATAATTTCATTTATGACATCCATAGTGCTATTGATGTAACTTGAGTTAAGTTCATAGAGCCTCTTGTACCACAAAGAATGTTTTTCTTCTTCGACTTTTTCGTAAAGTTGTTTTAGTTTCTCCATTTTTTCAAACGCTTTTTCTCTCCTCTCGATAAATTTAAAACTTTTTCTGTTACATTAAAAATTGATTA